TGTGATGTGCAAAACTATATCTATTTGTTCATACTTAATTTTTGGTTGTTGACATTGCACTTTTTGTTGTGATATGAATGGCAGTTGGAAATATGTGACCTGGACCCCTCACCAGCTGAAATGGCAATGCCATACATGAGTCATGTGCAGTATGAGAAACCTATCCTACCCGATCGGTCACATGGGGAGAAGAGAAATGGTGGTAGCATACACCGATCAGATCATCATCATCGTGCTGGGACTAGTACAAAACTAAGTAATTCAGGAATGAAACAATCTACTCCCATACTCTTGATAACTGATGGATGATTGGGACACTCTGATCTCCCCATTGATGATGATGACTTTGTTGACGCACCACCCAGTTGGAAGGGGACATCAATCCATGAAGATTCTCCAAGTGGGGAGCTTAAGTCAGATGACACCACTGATTCAGAGGATATGTCGTCAAAAGATGTAAGCTCTTCCAATTTCATCTATCATGTCACAAGTCCATTTGGTCACATAAAAATTCAAGTCACATATTCAGGTCACAGGTTTCGGTGATTAGGTCACATACCAATACACATTTCACTGCTGATCACAGATCAATGCTATATTTCATCATCATAAGTTTACTGATTATAGGTATTCATGTGATGCAGGTGGTCGACGAATTGAAGAATTATTTCAAAGGGCAGATATCTGATCTACAGTCTGAGAATCGGTTGCTAAGCAAACAGCTCAAGTCAATGCAGTCACAGGTGTCTTCTTTAAAGTCTGATCAGTAAAGGAAACTGAAGCTGCTAGTTCGTATGCATGGTGAAATTCGTACTGACATGTTGGACATCAAAGCACACATGCAGTGTATGTCTGATTCTGTGACTACATTGATATCTAGTTCAATGGAAGAAATTATAAAAAAATTCAGAGAGAACGCAGGACCAGAAATTGTTGTAGGATCTGGCCCAACATACGAAGTCAGTACCCCAACCGTGACTGCCTCTTATTTGTCTGTTACCATAAACCGTTTGATATACACTTCTCATCAAATGCATTTTTGTTCTGATTTTCAGGCTGCAAAAGTCGAATGAAGTGTTGATTCGAAAGGCAAGGTGAAGGTTGACTCTATGTGTGCAGTTGAATTTTCATGTTCTATTGAACCTCCATCTTTTGATCTCGGTCCCGGATTCACACAACCAAGCCAGATTGTTGCAAAAACATCAAAGGAAGTTGAAGTGCAAGTGGAATCGGTCATATCCGATGTTTTGAAGGACACGGAATGTTTTCAGCAAGAGGTATCAAAAAATCTATGTATTTTTGTTGATTAATGCATGTCACATATTAAAAAACACATTATATTACGCAGCACTTACCTGAGGCTTCACCAAGTTCTCGATTGCCGGTGAAGAGGGCTCCAAAGCCAGCTAAAGCCCTTCAGTCCCCTTATGTTGCCGACGAAATGAAACAAATGAAATCTTCAGGAAACGTAGTGGTCTTCGAACACTACAATCAGAATGTACAAGATGCAGATGTTGTTGACTTTCAAAATTGGTTTCAAAGAGGATACAAACCGCATAACAAGTACGAAATTGTTGTCCTGTTTTCATAATATTCCAAATAATGATCCATACTTCTCGTTTGTAGGAAGAAGTTCAATGATAAAGATGATGTCATCCGTCCACCTTTTTCCATCGGTTAGTACTTGGTGGGAAACAAGACATGGTGGTACGAACTTGTATCCAGGGAGGTGTCGTTGACTAGTTCAGTAAGTTACTACACAAAAGTAACGGTTCTAAAGGGTATGTCACAGTACAGGTCACATTAGTCACAGTTTTTTGTATACTAGTCACACAGAGCATGGGTCACAGATCACATGAGCAGTAGGTCATAGATGATGCATAGGTCACAGATCATGCGAACAGTAGGTCACAGCTGATGCCTGGGTCACAAATCACACGAACAGTAGGTCACAATCCGCGCTGCACAGGAAAACACATATCTGCAGGTGCAACAGTATAGCACACATGTCTTTATTACGTCCGGGTTCAGTTATTGAGTGGTCACTAACTACAGATTGTAGTGACCACACATTCTAGCCAAGTCATACATCATATTAACAGCTTATTGCATCGTGTTTTCTGGTGTATATATGGTTTCTAAATTGTTTATTGTACTTTCATCTCTGTAGCATATGGACGTGTGCTTCCATTATATACGTCAACTGGCAAGAAGTGCGAGAGATTTCAAGTTTGTAGCTACCACAACGGACTCGTTGTTCCAGGCCAAGCTCAAGCACATGTATCCTAGTTTCAAGGATGATGCAAATATTCTTGTCACGGATGATAGACTGATTGACGATATTACCGGTGCACGAATTCCATTGAGCACTCCATGGGCTGAAGTCGACCTTATGTTTATCCCACTTCTGCCTACCAACAAAACACATTGGATGCTTGGAGTGTTGGACATAAAGGCACATACGTTGTGTTTATTGAATTCGTCCAGGAAGACATACAATGATATCAAAGTCCGTACTGGAATTGAACCCTTTGTCAGTATGCTTCCGCATCTCATGAGATGTGTTGAAATATGGAAAAAAGATTCCATGGAGTTGAATGTGGATTTTGATTTCTCTCTTCCCCAACAGAAAAATAGGCAAGTTTTTTTCCCTCCACTAACAGTTAAACATATTATAACATGCTGGATTTCATAGCTAATATTCTGTTTTTTGTGTTCCTAAACATGATTGTGGCATTTACGTGGTCAAGTACACGGAGTGCATGCTACATGACGATATAGGATCCATGCCCATGAAGTTTGATGCGGGGAGAGCTCGGTTGGATGTAGATTCACTGTTGTTCAAACATCGTGAAATCGGGAAGACTAGAAAGCCGGTGCAGCCTACTGGTGGGCAAAGCATTGTTTTAGAGTGATAGTGCAATTAGAAGTAACATGTTGTAATAGATGGAAACATTGTCTCGTGTTTTGGAAATTCGTTTGTAATGACAATGCAGTTTTTACTTTTGTCTGTTTATATCAAAAAGTTCATTAATGTTTGGGGACTTTACTACAATATTTTTTCAGAAGTTTCACTATATATCATATTTTGCTATATTGACACCGTATCGAAGATAAAGTCTCAAAATTTAATGGTTACCTGCAATTTTTATGATTATTACAGGTCACCAGTTTTTAGGATTATTTGCAGTTCCAAGGTCACTGGTTTGTGTAATTTGGTCACAGGTCAATTCTCATTGTTATAGGTCACTGCACCCTAGTCACAGGTCACAGGTTACTTGCAGTTTTTAGGATTATCACAGGTCACCAGTTTTTAGGATTATCTGCAGTTCCAAGGTCATTGGTTTGTGTAATTTGGTCACAGGTCAATTCCCATTGTCATAGGTCACTGCATCCTGGTCACTGGTTACCTGCAGTTTTTAGGATTATCACAGGTCACCAGTTTTTAGGATTATCTGCAGTTCCAAGGTCACTGGTTTGTGTAATTTGGTCACAGGTCAATTCCCATTGTCACAGGTCACTGCACCCTGGTCACAGGTCACTAGTTACCTACAGTTTTTAGGATTATCACAGGTCACCAGTTTTTAGGATTATCTGCAGTTCCAAGGTCACTGGTTTGTGTAATTTGGTCACAGGTCAATTCCCATTGTCACAGGTCACTGCACCCTGGTCACAGGTCACTGGTTACCTGCAGTTTTTAGGATTATCACAGGTCACCATTTTATAGGATTATCTGTAGTTCCAAGGTCACTGGTTTGTGTAATTTGGTCACAGGTCAATTCCTATTGTCACAGGTCACTGCACCCTGGTCACAGGTCATTGTATATTGTTCACAGGCCATGAAGAATTATTACAAGTCAATCCAATCTGGTCACAGGTCATTGAAGATTTGTCACAGATCATTTCATACTTTTGTCACAGCTAATTGCAACTAAACCACTTCCATTTTCCTGAGTCTTTGCAATATGTCACTGGTCATTTTTTGTTGGTCACAGTTTATCGCATATTTGTCACATGTCATTGGATATTTATCGTATGTCACTTCATCCTAGTCTCGTGTCTTGATAAATGGTCACAGGTCTCTGCATATTGGTCACAGTTCATTGACATCTAGTTACAGATCATTTCATATATTCACAGTTGATTGCACAGGGGTCACAAGTCACTGCATTCTGGTCACAGGTCATTAATAATGATCATAGTTAATGCATACTAGTCACATGTTATTGTAGAATGATCACAGATCATTAATATGTGTTATCCAATGTTGTGTATCCTACGTTTACAAAAAATCAATGAATGAAAAAAACGAGGGAATTATAAAAAATATATCAATGTGTATTTCCAGTCTTTATCCTCTTCCTCTATTTATTCTTGTTGCTTTGACTCAACGTAACTAGCTGCTGCATGTTCTACGATTGTGACCACTTTCACCACACCGACCGCATTTGACGGTTATGTTTTCCTCGTACGCTGGTCTGAATCTCTTCTCAGTAGGCCTTCCACAACTTCGCTTTTGATTAGGTGCAATTACAACTATGTCATGGACATCATTTGACACTATCCATTCAGCTGGATTTCCTATGGGAAAAATGGTTTCTTGGTATGTATTTCTGAATGCTTCACTTGTGTAGTAGTAGGAGCAGTATTCATATGGATTCGTCTTCGTACTCGCAAACACAGCCAAAGCATGTGGACAATGTAGTTGATCAACTTGAAGCATCCTACATGTGCATGTCCGATTTTTTATATCAACAACGAAAGAGGAACTTTCACCGTTAACTGAGAACATTGCCTGATTAATAGGGGAAACCTATAGATATAGTCTCAAGTTATAGGCATAACAAGTCACGTAATTAAAAAGTAGGACACAGATGAAATTGCATGTCATGTAGTTATATATAATATTGCACAAATATTACTGAAACACAACGGTACAGATCACAGCAGAAGTCACAGCACATGTCACAGATCAGTTCAGGTAAGTCACAGATTATAGATTAGGTCACAGTAATCAAGTTTACCCTCAAGTTTCTCATATCTGTACTCATTTCCCTCATCTTCTTCTCATACTTAATTGACAAGGTTGTAAAAGTGCCTTGGGCGTCCTCCTTGTGTCTACAGAACCAAGGTTGTAGAATTTGTCTCAATGACTCCAACAAAGCTAGAATATGATAGTTCTTGGCAGATTTTGTGACCGCATTAACCGACTCCACAATCTTTGATGTCATTGTGGAATACTGGTTTGAAGGCATGTGGAAACGTGACCATCTCTCAGGTCCAACTTCGTCCTACGAACAAAAACATGGAAATGTGTATCATATAGTGTACAGTACCATGTTAAACATATTTATGTGAATATCATCATTGGACAATGTATAGTATAGTACCAGATAACCCCTTATCTTCTCATTAATCGAGCCGAGTTGTTGTATGTAATATTCATATTCCAATAGTGTGTAGGCACGAATAGCTGCATTGAATGCTTGTGTTATGTTTTGTCCTGATCTCCCGTACCGTGATTTTAGATTTTGTAGTAGATGGTACGAATATATCCCGTGACATGCTCCAGGATTCACGTTTTCAATCGCCGTTTTGATGCTATTGTGACAATCTGACACGAAGCACAAACTGTCTCTACCCCCATATGCTTTTCTCAACTGTCTAAAAAATCATGTCCAGGAGCTATCATTCTCGTTATCCCCAATCCCGAAAGCAAGTACATAAATGCTGTTATTTGCATCTTGTGTACATGCCGTGAATAAGGTGCCACCATAGTGTCCATTTAAATAGGTGTCATCAACCACAACAACTGGCCTACAATGTTTCCATCCCCGTATAGATGCACCTAATGCCATGAAACAATATTTAAACCTATTGTGACCATCAATTTCTAGACTTGTGACTGATCCAGGATTTGTTTGTTGTAGCACAGAAAAAAGGGCTGGTATCTTATTGAATGAATCAGTTGGATCACCCCTAAACACTTTCAGAGTTTCCTCTCGAGATCGCCAAGTTTGGACATAATTCAAAGATACTTCATATGTATGCAGCATGTCGTTGCGTATATCATTCGGTGTGTATATTGTGCGCAATGATGTGTACTTGTATTTAATGCAAGTTGACATAATCGTCTTTGTTACTTGCCTATGAGTACTGAGTACGATGTTTGAAGCACATATGTGACATTCTGTAATGTGTCTGATTTTAAACATATCTGTTCTGGCTAGTTTCGATGCTCTACATATCCAATTACACTCATCACGTGAACATTTTACAAGATAGTCTTTCTTATCAGACCGAACAACCACGTTCTCAAACATGTTCTGGATTGCATAAAACGACAAGCTCAATTTCATTATCTCCTTGTTACGAAAGACTCTTCCTTCCTCTACCTCCCTAGCATTTGCCACCGCCACAACTGTGACCTCATGCTCAAGATTGTCACTAGATGGATCCATTATTGCTCCACATATGTCTGATGACATATCTGTTAATGAAAACCCATGTTCGTTCGATTGAACATCAACTGATAGCGCAATAGGCTGTTTTTCGATATCTGTAGTTGTCAACTCGATGTGAATTGGATATTTCGCAGGGTCACGACTCATATCCTTTAAAACCATGTAAGACAAGACATTATCGTCACTTTTGATTGCTATTGGAGGCAGATCACTGTTCAAGACATACTTCATTATCACAGCAACTTTTACAGGGTCAAAGCTAAACTCTTTCATAACTGTGTCGACAAGCCTCAAATACTCGCAACTACGATCAATTAACACCAGTGACACTTGTGATCCATTCAACAGACACACGTGAATTAACCCCATTTTCTGCAAAATTAGCAAAGACATGATTAGCCTAACATCCAAACATATGTTAAATCTAATTGCAAATGGGTCAAAATTACGTTAATGGTCAAATGTCACAACAAACATATATCGAATCTCAAGTATCATTGTCACGTATTGAATACATGCAGGTCATATATTTTTATTTCCCAGATTTTTTTTACGAGAGGTCACAGATCATTGCATAGGTCACGTGTGACACTCAAGTCTTTGTACATTGGTCACAGTTAATTGTATGTCGGTCACAATTCTGTTAAATGATCACAGGTCAAAGCAAAGGCATGTCGTAACTTGAATGTCATGGTCACACATTGAATACATGCAGGTCACATGTATTCAATGTGTCACAATTACATGCAATAATCGGTCACAGTAACTAAGTATAGATCTGTCGCATATGATTAGAATCAAACAAGAGCATCAGTATCATAAAACACATATTCAAACACGTCACACATTTCGAGACACAAACACCCATGCATACTGAATGTATGATGTTATATCTTGTATCCAGGGTCACATGTTTTCCATAATGGTCACAACAGTTTCGAACAGCAATGTTCGATATTCATGCTCACAGTTCTGTCAAAAATCACATTTTTGATCAATCGAAGCTTGTCTAGCATGAATAAATGACAAATTATAATGAATAAATCGCAATTACACACTTGATCAATTTAATTACATGCCTGAATAATGTAATCAGTGACTGTTCGAGACACAGTGTTTTAATTCGACGTCATACGACCCGCGACTGCAATTTGTGACCAGAATTCGGTTTCACCGTCACTTCCGCAAGAGCCGGCCGTAATTGGATGTATTTTCAGATCTTCTGGCTATTGGAATCGGATTGAAAGATGAATTATTCTTTTTTAGGAGAATCCTGATATTATGGTATCTCAACCTCTTTGTTCGGGATTGTTTTTCATATCAAATTATATTTATATTTATTTTTAGGCTAATTTCTGATTTTTGAAATATGATACTTATTTTCTTATTTTTGAAATGCCCTATACTTAATCTCTTGCATGTGAAATTTTCCCTTAATTTTATCCTAAGTTGTACCGAAATGGGGACTGAAAAATGAATTGTGGCACGACACAACACAACCCGTGAAAATATCAGTTTTAAAAATTTTATGACATGAAAAGCTTATAAAATTTATAATTTATTTTTATATTTAATGTTTAATTTTGAAAAAAGATATTTAACATTAATTTATACTTTTAAATGCTTGTTAACATTTTTTTTCCCTGTTGGTGTAGATTAAAGATTGATAATATTTCAACTCAAATTCAATAATTAATTTCAATCAAATGTTTAATGACACCCACAAATTTTTAATTACGTATTTCATCAACTTTTATTCGAACCTGTTAAAAAATTAATTTTAATATATATCATACAGGAGCTTTGTAAGATAAAGAGTCAAAGCTTATAATATGTTAATTTGTAGTTGAAGAAGGTGAATAAGTTAATTCAATTGAAGCCCTTAATAAAGATTACGATTAAACGTAATTTTAGTCATAGGTTTTAAATAGGGAAAATTGCATCCGAGGTACCAAATCTTTCGTTTATTAGCAGATTTTGCCAAAACTTTTAGTTTGTGCCACCCACAGTCCCAAACCTTTCAAAAATATGCACTGGGGTTCAAATGGATGGAAACCGTCCGTTTGACCGTTAGTTGATCAATAAAATTGAATTTTGATCAATTTTTGACCAACTTAAAAGGATAAAAATGTAAATTTGCTATTTAACTCTATAATAAAACAAATAAACTAATATACCAAATAAGATGAATAGTAGTTCCCTTTATTTTTATTTGATATATTAGTTTATTTGTTTTATTATAGATTTAAATAGTAAATTTACCTTTTTATCCTTTTAAATTGGTCAAAAATTGATCAAAATTAAATTTTATTGGTCAACTAACGGTCAAACGGACGGTTTCCATCCATTTGAACCCCCGGTGCATATTTTTGAAAGGTTTGGGACTGTGGGTGGCACAAACTAAAGTTTTGGACAAAGTCTGCTAATAAACGAAAGATTTGGTACCTCGGATGCAATTTTCCCTTTTAAATATTACCATCAAAGTTTTCATAAAGGTTAAATTTATATAAAAACCAAAAACAAAAGAAAAAAAATTCTTTATAAACTTTCTTTGAGTTCCATAAATGTTATAGAAAATTTTCAAGAGTTCTAGCCCCTATTTGATTGTAATTATTAGGGAAAAATAATATTCTGAATAGTAATTTTTAGAAGAACGTGAGGTTAAAAAATAGTGAAAAGTTTTGGATTTGAGTTCGAATAATGGTTGTCAAACAAGAGCTTTATTTTTAAATATTTTATATGTTTCGGTGCAATTTAAATTCTACCTGACTCTTTAATGTTACGGACACCTATTATGTATATTGTGGTGTCTCATCCTTCTCACAAAAAGGTTTTAAGGAAAACAAGAAATCAGAAGGAAAATAATATAACCCAAAGAGAAGAAAAAATAAAGTCTAACTCATGACTCCGCAACAAATAACAATGCATCAAAAGCCTTGTTTTGATCCATTAGCTTATTTCCAAACGTTCATTTCTTTCTTCTTTTTTGGTAATTTATCTCCACACTTTAATCATGAGAAAAGTGATGTGTCATATTCTAACCAACTTAAAAAGTGAGTTTTTTTTTACAATATTTAGTGAGTTTAGTACGAAAATAGTATGATCTAAATGTTTAACCATACATTCCAAGTTTTTTCATGTCCCAAAAGTGAGGGAGTTCTTCCTTTTATAGGTGGAATATCAATCTTGTCAAGGTGCGATATCTTTTGTCAAGGTACAATATCTTTTCTAGGGGGTGTAACCATTTGGTGAGGAATAGCCATGTTTAGTGTAGAACGGTAATAGGAAGGGTAAAATGATGGTCTACGACTGACCTCCAACCAGGGGTGGACACGAGGAAGTGTTTGGGGTCACGCGACCCCCAACACTTTTTTTTTTTAATCAAGCACTGATTGATATGAATTAAAATATAAATTTTAATATAATTCAAGATTAACTATTAATTTTGATAACATATTTCATGGGATTTATAAATTTTCATTTTTTATCAAAATTTACTAGAAATTTGATTTTAATCTCCATCAAACAAAAACAAAATCACAATATATTTGAGCTTTTTCATTTTTTTTTCTTAAACTCTTGTGACTCTTTCGCTCAAGCATTCTATCAAAACATTAAATTTTTTAATTTTTTAAAATTTGTGTATAATTTCTTTACAAATTATAACATTTACTTCACTTCCTAATCATGTTTTGAACTTAAATTTGCATTTTCTCCTATCAAATTGTGTATATAGAATGAGTCTTAAATGATTTTATCCAGTTTGACTTATATTTAACAATTGTGATTATTTGATTGAATATTAATAGTGAATATTGATTATATGTTTTTTTTATTATTACTTAAATTGATTTTTTGTATCAAATATATTATAAATTCTTTAAACGTAATTATGCATTTTTTGTGATGAACAAAATATTAATAAAAGGACCGTTCGAAATTAAATGAATGAAAATGATAAACAAAATATTAATGAAGGAATGTGTTTTTAAACTTAATTTTGCGTTTTCTCGAGTTAAGTATGAATTATTTAAAAATCAAGAACAAAGTGTTTGATCCATATAAGGTTTGATTGTGCTCCCCTAATTCAAAAAAGTCTACGTTCGCCCCCCTCATACCTTAAGACTCTTTTGTTAAAGTTTTATGATCGGCCCTTGGAGAATGTTATGGTGCATGTGGGAGA